ATGCTGCTCCATCTGAAAGCACGTGATGATGATTTCCTGCTGATTACAGAACCGGCTTTACTAACAAAATGCGCATGACAATCGCATTCGATTAATCGTGCAGCCCTATGATATAATGCAAAATTTCTTTTTTGGGTTAACGATTTCTTTAATTATACAGACGTATTAGTTGACTTGCCGTTCTGACAACCTACAAACTAGTCAATTTAAAAAAAATAAATAAATAAACATTTTTACACATTCCTTCTTAATACAGGTAAACCATCAACACAAGACATTCCTGCGTTGCAACCAAGTAGCAGATATGAGCATATTACCCAGGCTGTAAAGAATGCCTGAAAGAATGCGCACATCAAGCGCGAAGTCTTAATCCTGAGAAACAGTGACTGATCTCAGCTTTGGAAAACATATCCCGTCTAAAAAATGAGAAAAGAGCTTTTATCAGCTTCTTTTCCTCAAGAACAATTCCTCCACAAACAAAACCAAACATCAGTTTCAGCCCATTGGCAACGGCTCTCTGGGGATTGACGGACAACTCACAGGAAGTTCAGAGAGAAGCACTGGCTAGTGTGTAACTTTTCGGACTGGACAGTGCCAGAACTCTGGAGCGAGAGACTAATTCTCTTAGCAGGGTGTTGTGTTTGGCACGGGGACCTGGAGCAGACGGATAAGCCTTGACACGTTGCTCCTCGCAGGGAAGGCTGCCCTGAGAGGAAGCAATCTTTAGCACTGTCCAACAGACCCAACGAGCCATCTAGACGGAGAACGACCAATATGGGGTTTTCAAACATTTTAAAACCCATTTTATAACCTGAAACCTCCTCACTTGAACAACACAAAGAAAATGGCAAATGAATCAGTCTCTATTGTCATTTAAACTCAGTCAATAGTTTTATATTGTGTCATTGTTGGTGGTGATTTGATCATAAAAGTGGTCGTTCATCACTGTACACAGTCCCTCAACATTTTTATTTCAAATAAAATGTTGTAAAGTTGTGTTGCATCTCAGAGCTGGTTGGTTTGGTTCAAGACTTAAAACTCTTTATTAAAATAATGTTTTTTTAATATTTGAGGAGAAAATGAATTGGAAATATACCCATGTCACTAGACAAAATGAATAAGTGGTCACTATCGCTCATCCTAGCGATTCCCGTGTTTTTGCAGTCAGATTTTATTGTTCACATTTTTTAAACTTTTCACAGATGGATGAATCTCATTTTTAGAAGCATGTATCTAAATTATAATAATAAAATATAATGACAGCAAATCTACGACGTTGTTTTAGTGCCATGTAAAATAGTCAGACAATTTTGAGAATAAAGTCAAAATTACGAGAATATAAATCGTAGAAATATGAGATTAAAGTTGTAATATTTTGAGAATAAAATTGTTGCATTATGAGATTAAAGTTGTAGTATTTCAAGAATAAAGTCGTAGTATTAATATTAGAGAATATTAGATATTATTAGAGAATAAAGTAGTATATTGCATGAATAAAGTCAATTAAAGTGAATCAACTTTAATCTCATATTATGACTTTATTCTCGTAATTTTGACTTTATTCTCAAAATATGACTTTAATCTCGTAATCTTAGATTTATTTATTTATTTTTATATTACATGGTACTAAAACGCTAGTACAAATCAGACATGCACAATTTCTGAAATTAAATAGATATTTTACTCAATTAAAATCCAGATTTGACATGCAAATATGCAAAATTAGTAGATTTTGCAGCTAATGCCAAAAATAGTCAAATATTGTCAGATTAATTTGCCTGGACAATATTCAGTTCATCACATGTTAGAACAGGTTTTTTGAATCAATCTTAACAATGTCAGCAGTGATGTATTTTAGCTTGAAGGAGTTCATAACAGCTGTGTTCACACAAAACCCTTATTTAGCTATGAAAACATTTTTGTGAGGAAAACTATCCTATGGATAGTGACTACACAAGGGGAATGTGGGAACATACTGCAGTACAATGAAATCTAATAACAGGACAGCAAAACTCTAATGAGGGGTAAAATTAAGCACCAATATGAGATTGAACATTTACAAAAAATGATTATGGAATTTATTGATCAACAAGTGATGCTTGAAACTTTGTGTTAATATATTTCACTACAGTGTAAATAGCTTTTCCAGTTACATTAGTATCATCAGCAGATTTAATCAAATCAATAGTGTCAAGATTTGCCCAATTTATTTTTGTCATCTTTGTGCCAATGTGATACTTACTGAATGTATTTAATTCTTAATCTTTCATAGCTTTAAGTGCAAGGTCACATTTGGTGTCATATGGAGTGACGCACTTCACATTAAATGTGAACAAAAAATTTAGCTGTATTGGTTCAATAAAATCACTTTTCTAATGTAGCGATAAGCAGGGGTTAAATTGGGATTTGTTATGCGGGGGGGCTCTATGGTATCGAGCTTATATATATATATACACAGT